AAATATCACACGACACGGGTAGGAAAATAGTGCATTGTTCACAATATTATTCGCGAATGCCTACAGCCGATTCACAGACGCTGAAATTCAGAACAACAGCACGACTGCAAATGTGATTCTTTACACAAAAGATCAATAAACAAATAGTTAATATTGAGTAACTCACATTTTAGAAACAATATTGCCAGTTATTTCGTTTTTGCTCCGTCAGCAGTTCCAAACGAAGTCTATGAAGAATTCCTCTTGTCTTGACTTGCGTCTCAGAATGGTTTTTCGTGCCCAAATTAATCAGTTTATTTGAATCGGTTGAGTGCACGATTCAGTGATTCACTCACAAGGACCGTCATTTAACGCCAACTATTGGTGTAATGATGTAGCCTGAAATTCTGAACTTTTTTTGGGGTTCCCAGAAAGTTCTGGAAAGTCTTTGGTTACAAAAAGAATCTTCAGAAAACATTCCTAGTAGAATGTTATTATTTGGTTCTCAAAAGTAACCATAAGGGAACGGCAGGGGAGGACCGGATGTTTGTGGATGATGAGATACATAATTTGTGGTTTAGGATGTCAACATGATCATTGTTGTGATGTCACTACATTACATAACGAACACATGTATATACATAATGTGTAAACAAATGAAACAGTTGGTAGATAATCCATTTTAATGCAGTCTACCTAAATATTTACTGTGTAGATCTAGAAAACACTTTATTTGAACAATTTGTTAAACTTTATTTTAAATAAACAAATAAGTAGAAATGTAACAATTAATTTGTAAAATTGACAAGACAGTGCAGCCTTTATGAAAACCATGTTTATTAAAACATTGTTTATTTATAGGTTTCTAAGGTGACAGAAAATGGGGGTTTAGGGCTTCACTGTGGTTAGGCAACTTCCTGTTAAACCAAAATGTGAAAGATCAAAGATAGCTTCCTGTTAGCAATTTCTAGCTCATATCAACCTCTTTCTGCATAGCTTTCTGAAAATGAATTGCACCTTGCAGCTGTACAACTTTCAGCGTCTTTGCAGTGTGTATATCTTTTTGCATCATGGCCTGCATATGTACAGCTGTTAAGTTCTGCTTCCCAGCTTTCATAACTTCTGATAACTTTCTTGCACTTTTGTTAGAAATGACAAAGGCAAGTGTTACAGTACATTAAACTGTTGATCACAGGCACAGAATCAGACTACGGGGGTCCTGGCAGCAGTTAAAGTGATTGAAGTGCGCAGTGAAGAGCAGCTGGATGACTACATCACTGAGATAGACATCCTAGCATCCTGTCGCCATACAAACATCATATCGTTAATGGACGCCATCTTCTTTGAGGGCTGGCTGTGGGTAAGGAACATCTGTTTATAGGCCTAGGTGTTTTTCCCCTCAGCTACAGCTACACTTTTATGTGTGGAGAGTTAATGTTTATAACAAATTTACCAGAAGTCTTTTTCCCCTCATTTATTTATATGGACTATAAATACAAAACTATATTGGAAGCTTAAAAAAAGACAGCTTTTCTAAAGACAACTTTTTTTAAACAAGTGTTGGGAGGGTTTTTTCCACTGTTGGGGAAAGTATGTTATAAAATAATGCATCACAATATTGCGTTATTCCATAAAAAACTGCATTACTTAGTTACTTTTTAATGGAAAGTAATGCATTACATTACTTTTGCATCACGTTTGTCACTTGGGCTGGGCCTGCTTTTTTGTTTTTTAATGAAAACAAAGTAACTTGAATTACCTATTTGAAAAAGTAACTTCGATATTTTCTTGTAAATGTAAAAGTTACTTTACTAGTTACTTGAAAAAAGTAATCTGATTACGTAACTTGCGTTACTTGTAATGCGCTACCCCCAACACTGGTTTTTACTTTATAAAAGTCTGCATAAATAAAGACACATTCTTATATAGCTTGACTATTATTTTTTTAGCATATCTGTATGCTTTGTCTTTTTAGATCCTGATCGAGTACTGTCCTGGAGGCGCTCTGGATGATATCATGTTGGGTGGGTGACTTGACACTTTTCAATCATTCATTCATGGTAGTATCTTTATGGCATTATCATAATTTATCCATACTGCGTGTGTTTCAGAACTGGAGCGTGGCCTTACAGAGCAGCAGATCAGTGAAGTGTGCTGTCAGTCTCTGCAGGCTCTGTCTTACCTGCACCAGCATCACATTATACACAGAGACCTGAAGGCGGGCAACATTCTGCTCACCATGGATGGACAAGTCAAACTAGGTACAGATATACTGTTCTCTCACATTTTTGGTCTAAATACAGTCTGTGCTTTATCTATTTATATTCTCTTTCATACAGCTGACTTTGGTGTGTCTGCAAAAAATGACAATACCATCCAAAAACGATCAACTTTCATTGGAACTCCATACTGGTGAGACTCTCTTATGCTTGGTCAAATGCTCTTGCTGTCATCGTTTACTCACCTTTATGTTATTTGATACAAGAAAAAACTTGTACAGATCAACATGAGACAGAATTCTCATTTTGGGTAAACTATAGGCCTACCTATTGAACATCACAAAAAGAAACAATTAAATTATGCTTATAGTGATTCCTTTACTTTATACAACCCTCCTGCCAATGAACATTAGATCATAATATTTTGTCTTTCAAGGATGGCGCCTGAGGTGATTATGTGTGAAACGTCAAAGGACAATCCCTACACGACTAAAGCTGACATCTGGTCATTGGGCATCACTTTAATTGAGGCCGCTGAGATGGAGCCTCCTCATCATTCTCTCAACCCCATGAGGGTCTTGCTGAAGATCACCAAATCTCCACCACCCACACTCTCCAATCCTCGCCAATGGTGGGTCGCCGCTTCCTCATCCCTTCTCTAGATCTGCTGGGGTTTAGGCTTAAGCTCTATCTTGATTTTTGCCGTCAGGTCATCACATTTCCAAGATTTTCTACGGAGAACCTTGCAGAAGAATCCCGAGTCTCGTTGGGGAGCCCAACAGCTCATGGCCCATCCTTTCTCTTATGCGGGACGAGACGGACGAGCCCTCAAAGAACTCATTGCTGAGGCCAAAGCAGAGGTCACTGAGGTCATAGAGGCTGAGGTAGATACATAGGTCAATGACAAGAACATGCTGCTATTTTGAACTTTTTATTCATCAAAGAATCCTGAAAAAAATGTATGACATTTTCCACAAAAATATTAAGCAGCACAACTGTTTTCAAAATTGATATTACTAGGAAATGTTTATTGAGCACCAAATCAGCATATTAGAATGCTTTCTGAAGGATTACATTGAAGACTGGAGTAATGATGCTGAAAATTTAGCTTTGCATCACAGGAATAAATTACACTTTAAAAAATATATTAAAATAGAAAACAGTTATTTTAAGTTGTAATAATATTTAACAATATTACTGTTTTTACTATGTAGTTATTAAGTAAATTCAGCCTAGGACCCCAAACTTTTGAGCAGTGGTGTAATTACAAAAATAAAAAATAAATCATGATTTTAACTTTTTGGTTATACCACATGACATATTTAAAAGTCATTATCACCTTTTGTTGGACCTGTCAAACAACCATAATCCATGTGTGTAGCAGTACACAGCTTAATACATCTTTTTCTGCATCTTTCCATCTGCAGTCTTTATTAGATCTCGAATGTTCTGCGAAGGAGATGATTGCTGCAGAGTCAGAGCAAACAGTGCCACAACCAGGACAAGCAGTTGAAGAACAAGGACCACAAGAACCTGAGACCCCTCAGAAAACCTCTGTTCCAGATGCTGTTCCTCAATCTCCCACCGACTCGGAGCCAATAGCTGAGGTGAAAGTAACCCGCAGGGCTTCACAGGCCACAGACAAAGCTCAGAAGAGGGCAAGACGCCTCTCGGTTCCAGGAAATCTCCTCTCGTTTTTTACTGGAGGCTCCCGTCGCAAATCTGCATTCTGGGGTGACAATCCACCTCTTCAAGGAAGTAAGGACTCAGAAGTTTCAAGTGCAGCTGTGGGAACTGTGGAAACTTGCCCTTCAGATGGCAAAGAAAGTGAAAGCATGTACAAACTGAAGAAGCAAACATCTGACTTAGTTGATGCTCCAAGTAATGAGGCTGCTGACACCAAAGACAAGGAAGCTAAAGTAGAAACTGACAAGGAGGTAGCCCAGACCTCAAACAACTCAAGCACACCACCACAAACAGAGTTACCAACAGATTCCTCTGAAAAGGAAACACTAGATCTCACCAAGGAGGACACTGATGCTGATAAGGAAAATGTGAAGTCTGATGATTCAGGAAACAATGACCAAATATTTTGGAAATCCCTCCAGACACCTGCTATTATCAACAAAGACACAGCACATCCACAAAGCACACCGATTGTAGCTTTGTGTTTGGAAACACCACTAGCTAAAAGGACTGAAAAGAATGAGGGAAATTATAAATATGAGTACCTTGATTTGGCCTGTCCTTTGAAAACTTGCAATTCTCCTCCTGCTTTAGATATAAACGAAATCTTAACTGTAGAGATGCCTTCTAATAATGTTCCCGAAGAAGTTTCTGACCTCAAAAAAGCACAACAGACAACTGAACCATCAGAAAATGATGCTGTTGAGGGAAGAACCGAAGAAGATGTAGAAGAACCAGGAGAACTGGAGACAGATGGAGGAACAGTGGATGCAACAAAAGAGGAAATCAGTGAAAATGGTAAGGACTTTGATGTAGGGAAAGAAGAAGATATAACTGCCAATGAAGATGACATTACTATGAAGGTAGAGTGTGAGGATGTCAATGAAGCTGTCAAGGAAGAGCATGCTACTACTGAGATAGGCCATGAAGAAGTCAACTCAAGCAATGAAAAGTCTGAGGAACGCTGTGAAAAAGACCAAGATCTTTGTACAGAAACAGAGGAAGAGGAGCATTCATCCAACAAGGAAGATGTTACCGTGGAGGTTGATCATGAAGATTTAGACTCAAGAAACGAAAACAGCGAGAACACAAGAAAATCTGACGAGGAGGTAGTAATACCAACCCAAGATGAGATGACCATTGGTTCACAGATGGCAGAGATACCATGTCAAAATAAAGAAGACACCAGTTCTGAAGGAGAAAAGATCATCATTGGTAATGAAAGAGATGCTGCTGGTGATCAAGACGGAGCAAGTCCAACAGAAGTCTGTTCTGAAAAGAAAGTAGAAGAACCTGAACAAGAGCTTCACATGGATACTAGTATACAGAACGTTACAGAAGAGCAATCAAAACTTCCTGGTGAAGATACAACAGTGAGTTCCAAAGTTTTTGGAACAAAGTTGAAAAAGGAAGTGATGTTTGCAGTTCAAGAGGACAAAAATGAGCAAGAAAGGCCACTTGCAAATGGCTTGAAAAATGTAGACTTAATACCACCTCATGAATCGAATGGATCCACACCTAAGGAATCTAATGAAGACATCATTGCCCCTCTTTCCCCTACTGAGCCTCCACTGTCTCCTGGAATTGAAGGGGTAAGTCTGAAATAAACGTAGAGCTAAAAACTACCAGGCTAATTCAACATGTACGAACTGTTCTCTTTTTGTATTAATTCAGGAATTGCACCCAAGCAGGCGAACCGTTAAAAGGACACGTAAATTTATGGTGGACGGTCGTGAGATCAGTGTCACCACTTCCAAAGTGTTTAGTGAGGGAGACAAGAAGGAGCAACAAATGCGCTGCAGCAGGTAATGAGTCTTTATGCTTTATAGTGGACATGGATGAATGGACGTGTCACATTCATAACTTCTTGGGTGTTTTCAGACGGCAGGAACTGCATGCGTTGAAACTCTTGCAGAGAGAAGAGCAGAGAGAACATGGCCAGCTTGAACAGAAACTACAGCAGCAGCGAGAGCAGATGTTCCGCCACATAGAACAAGAGATGACTGTAAGCCACAAGCACCAAAGCCCTTTGGCCTCAGTTAACAACTTAAGACGTGCTATTAAACAGAAACGTTTCCATTCGGGTTCTTGACTGAAGTACTAACATGCCCTTTATACAAAAACTTTGACATGCAAGGACTTATTTTTGCAAAGCAGATTCTAAAGCACATTTCAATTGTTCACTCTAAAAAATGCTGGGTTAAAAAGGGACAAACCCAGCTATTGGGTTGTTTTGACCCAGCTATTGGGTTGTTTTGACCCAGTGGTTGGGTTGTTTTGACCCAGCTATTGGGTTGTTTTGACCCAGTGGTTGGGTTGTTTTGAACCCACCCGCTGGGTCAAAACAACCCAATAGCTGGGTTTGTCCCTTTTTAACCCAACGCTGGGTTATATTTAACCAAGCATTTTTTAGAGTGTTCATACTGTACATTAATGTACAGTTCCTAAATTCACTTGTAACACACAAAGTATTTGTTTTATTATTTGAAGAGTTTATTTGCAAAAACAGATAACACCGTTTTTATTAATTTTCTTAAATCATGTTTTTTATCATGTTATCATGTAGCTGTATTTTTTTTAGTTATTATTATTTAACCAAAACAACCCAACATTAATTGGA